AGGTGAGACTCCTCTCAGGTGTGAACCCCCTCAGGTGTTGCTCCCCTCAGGTGTGACTCCCTCAGGTATTGCTCCCCTCAGGTGTGACTCCTTCAGGTGTAACACCTCAGGAGTGATTCCCCTCAGGTGTGACCTCCTCAGGTGTGACTCCCCTCAGGTGTGACTCCCTCAGGTGTGACCTCCTCAGGTGTGACTCCCCTCGGGTGTGCCGGGTGTCAGGGCGGGTCCTGAGCTTGCCGCTTGCTGGGTTTCAAGATGCCCTCCTTTCTGGTGCTGGTGGAGCCCAGGTCCTGGTGCTGCCCCTGAGCCCTGCTGCAGCCCAGACTTGGTCCACACCCGAGTGCCCTCCTTGCCCCAGGACCCCGTGGTTGTGGGTGGACGGAGCCCGAGCTGCTGCAGGTCAGGCCTGGTTGCCACACCTGAGCACGCGGGATGGGCCTTTGACGGGGTACAGAGACACCCAGGTGGCCTCTTGGGCACACAGTTGCACCCAGGCTCCCAGCGCCAGCCCTCACACGCAGGAGCAAGCTGGCCCCAGTGCGGGTGTTTACTTATTGAGCTCCTACTGCGTGCCACGCTCTTCTAGTGCGGGACATGGAATGGACCAGACAGATGGCAGTTGTTCCCTGTGTCCAGGGTCTGTGCTTCGGTGGGGCAGAAGTGGGGTCCCTGGACCTGTGTCAGGAGGTCCCCATCCTGGAGTACACACAGTGGGCGCTGGGAAGCTGTGGCTGTGAAGGGGCCGTCAGCAGGGCTCCCCTGTGGAGGTGGCACTGCAGCGGGGACGCCGGGAGGTGGCAGGGGAGCCACAGGGAAGCACCTGCCACGCCTCTTGTTGGGAACCCTTGACATCCAAAGACTTGGATGTCACTGTCTCATTCCACAGAGAGGGACTGAGGCACAGAGAGGGTAAGAGGCTGGCCCAGGGTTGCTCAGCAGATTTGTTCTCACTCCCTGCCCCAAAGCCTGTGCTCCGGGGCCACGCATGCCACATTTCTTTCATCGCCAGCTGGAATTCCAACCCTGTCCTTCCAACCGGGTGGCCCAGCAGCCTCCTACACTTTGGAAGGGGGCAGGCATGTTACGACGAGAATGGCTGCCCATCTGCAGAGGTGGGGTCAGCCGTGAGGAGAGTGAGAGAGGCACAGAGAGGTTGGGCCACTGTGCAGGGATGCACAGCGCATGGGTGGGGGGCCGGAAGGTGGGGGGAGTGGCTTGGTCTTGTGGATGCGGGGCCTAGGCACCCAGGGAGCCCCCCAGCAGGCCTCTTCCTTCCTCTCGCACAGGGACAAGCTGGCTGAGCTGCACGGGAACATGTTTGTAGAAGAGTGTGTCAAGTGCAGGACGTGAGTGGCAGGGCTGGGGGGGGACAGGCTGGCTGTGGGTGTCAGTGGGGGGGGGGGGGGGGGGGAGGCTGGCTGTGGGTGTCGGGGGGGACAGGCTGGCTGTGCATGACAGCAGATGGGGGAAGGCTGCTCTGGCTGGTGGGAGGGCTGGTGACAGTGACCCAGCTGCCGGGGCCCTGGGAGTCCAGTCTGATGCTCCCGGAGACCCAGGGGCGTGGGAGGCCTGGGCGCGGCCCTCCGGGGAGGCCTGGTGGCCTACTTCCTGGGGCTGCTGTCACTGGAGGCTGCTGGGCCACTTTCCCTGCTCCGGGGCTCCTCCCGTGGCCCCGCCGCAGCCTGCGTGGTCAAGGTCACATGGCTGTCTCCTGTGTGTCTTCTCCCTTCTTGGAGGACCAGCCGTCCCCTCCTCTGGTAGGACCTTGTCTCAACTGACCACACCCACAGTGACCCCGCTTTCAGACAGGGTCACCCTCTGGGTCACTGGGCTTAAGCTTCAGCGTGTCCTTTTGGGTGACACAGTCCAGCCCACCACAGGGAGTGACCCCCACTCTGGCCGCTGACCTTCCAGGTTGCTGGCTGCAGACCTCTGTCCAGTGCCCTGACTCGGGGTGCCCGGGCCCCAGGCCGCAGCGTCCCTTCCCGAGTTGCAGAGCCTTGGTCTCTGGCGTGGCTCTGCGGGGAAGGACCCAGGGCCTGGCTTCTCGTGCCAGGCGAGCGCTGGCCACTGGGCCTCTCCTGGTCCCCTCCCGCCTGCGGATGCCTCCTGCTCGGGTCCTGATTCAGGGACCCCCTTCCCCGAGAGCTTCTCGGAGAAAGCCCAGCGCTGCCGGGGGCTTCAGGGCGGCCCACGAGACCCCTGTCCTGCCTCCTTCCTCCTGGCGCAGGCAGTATGTCCGGGACACCGTGGTGGGCACCATGGGCCTCAAGGCCACCGGCCGGCTCTGCAGCATGGCCAAGGCAAGAGGGCTGCGGGCCTGCAGGTGAGTGGCCCTCCCCACCCCCCAGCCCCGGGGCCACGGGGCCCGCTGACCCTCCACTGCCCACAGGGGGGAGCTGAGAGACACCATCCTGGACTGGGAAGATGCCCTGCCCGACCGGGACCTGGCTCGAGCCGACGAGGCCAGCAGGTGGGACCCCTGTGCCCGGGGTGAGGGTGGGGACGGGGCGGGCAGGGACTCGGGCAGCTGGACTCCTGGGCGGCAGGGGGCTGGGCGGGGCTGGACTGAGCCTGTGCTCCTGACCCCAGGACCGCCGACCTGTCCATCACCCTGGGCACCTCCCTGCAAATCCGGCCCAGTGGGAACCTGCCACTGGCCACCAAGCGCCGGGGAGGCCGGCTGGTCATCGTGAACCTCCAGCCCACCAAGCACGTAGGTGCCGAGCCCACCCCTGCCCAGGGCCCCTGGGCCTCTGCCCCGCCTGACCCTGCTCGCCCTGCAGGACCGCCATGCTGACCTGCGCATCCACGGCTACGTGGACCAGGTCATGACCCGGCTCATGAAGCTCCTGGGGCTGGAGATCCCCGCCTGGGACGGGCCCCGCGTGCTGGACCGGGCCCTGCCACCCCTGCCGCGCCCTCCGGCTCCCAAGCTGGAGCCCAAGGAGGAGCCCCCCAGCGACCCCGGGCAGGAGCCCAGCGTGGAGCCCCGGGCCCAGCACAATGGCTGCAAGCCCCCCAGCCCCAAGAGGGAGCCGCCAGACAGCCCTGCCCCCCGCCGGCCTCCCAAGAGGGTGAAGGCCGAGGCGGCACCCAGCTGACCAGGCGCTGGGCCGGGCTCTCACGGAAACCATGGACTCCTCTTTCTTACGGTCTCACTGTTACTTGTCCCTGTCCCCGGGGACCTCAGGGAGCTGAGAGCAGGACTCCAGGCCCAGGGCGGTGGGCCTCCACTGTCTGGTTGGCTCTTGGGCCTCTGGGGAGCCCAGGAAGAGCCCGGCCCGCAGTGCCACCCAGGCCTGCTGCCCGCCACGGCCAGCCTCCGACTCAGGACTTCTGGGAGCGGGTGGCAGACGCCCTCCTCCCCAGTTTCCAGCCTAAGGGGGAGCGCCCTGGGCCCTGGGCTCCTCTGGGGACTCCGCACACTCCCTCCCCGTCAGCTCTTGATCTGCCTCCCAAGGCCACCTTCAGGGACCCCCACGGGGAGCCGGACCCCCCCCTCCCCCCGCTGAGGGCAGGGCTGCGGGGAGAGGGTCCCGGGCCTCCCCAAGTCTTCAACGCAATAAAGACAGACTCCTTGCAGCTGGGCGCCTTGCAGTCCCTTGGTCAGCACCCTGGGGACAGGGGAGGGCTTCACCCCCTCCCCACCCGCCATCCTGGGGCTGGGGGGCGCTCTGCAGCCCCGGGCCCTGGTTACGCCCTTTATTGGATTGATTGCCCCCTGCCCCCAGTGGGGTGTCCCTGGAGGAGAGAGGCCCCGCCTGGTGGGTCCTGGCCCCTGCGCAGCCCGCGGGGGTGGGGTGGGTGGGGTTGTCCCCGCTCCCCGCCTGTGACCTCGACCTGGTTTCCTCATCTTAAAATGAGCCCCGTGTGGGGCGTAGCGCAGCCCCTCGGCAGAGAGGTCCCGGTCCCCAGGTCCCACTTCTGGGCTCCAGGGACCCCGCCCGGCCCTTGCCCTTCTCCAAGGTGCTGAAACTGCCGGGCGGGGGGCCGCACTCCACCCCCCAGGTCCCCTGAGCGCCCCCAGCCGAGTTCTGTCAAAATACTTTATTAACGGTCACGCAGTCTTAGAAAAGGGTGGTGGCGGGTTGCGGCCACTCAGAAGTCCAGGGTCCCTGAGGCTGGACAGCTTCCTCCGCCCAGTGAGCAGGGAGGCCGAGGGGCACCCAGGCGCAGGTCGCAGCCGGCGGCCAGCCCTGGGCCTGGGGCGCTGCGGCCACACCCAGGCCAGCTCCCGTCTGTCCCTGCAGTGAGCTCTGGGTCTGAGCGTGTCCACCAGGGCCTGCCGTCCACTTGGGCACCCCCAGGTGGCCTGGGCAGGGACTCGGGGGCACACTGGGGATCTCACAGCTCCTCCCCCGCCGCCTCCAGCCCCACGCGTCCTGTGCTGAGCACCGGCTCAGGTGCCACCCAGTCCAGCAGGGTGGCCGGGCCCAGCTCCTCGGTCGAGTTGCCCAGAACCAGGGTCGAGTTGTCCAGCTCCTTTGCTGACCCGCCCAGAGCCAGCATGTCCAGGAAGCCCCAGTCCGTCCAAAGGCCGCCCGGGGGCCCTTTGTGGGGCACAGCAGCGTCCGGCCAGGGGCCTGGGGCCTTGGAGGCCAGATTGTCGTCCGGGGCCACCCGGGACGAGGCATCGTTGTGCAGCGTCCTGGAGAAGACTGAGCAGAGTTCGGGGACTCAGGAGGGACGCCGCAGGGGGCAGAGTCCTGTGGCCCTCTCCCCGGCCTCGGGACGCTGGGGCACAGGTCTCCCAGGGTCCAGGTGCACCAGGAAGAGGTGGGGGGCAGGCACTCACCTCGCACGGGAGCGAAGTCCCCTGGGCTTTCGGCCTTGTTGGCGGCGAAAGGGCTGATGGAGGGGAGGACGATGAGGGCGAAGGACAGCAGCAGGACCTGCCGGAGAGGGGGCGGTCACCTGCGTCCCCTCCACAGGGAGGGAGGCCAGGCCGGGACCCCCGCGCTGTGCTGGCCATCACTTCCTGCAGACCCCTCCCCGGGGACCTGCCTGCCCCGCCCGCGGGCAGGGGAGAGGACTCACCGCCGTGCAGGTGCCCGTGTGCACAGACTTGGTGGTGGATTGGACCACCATGGCCTGCAGCCTCTTGAGCTGCTCCAGCAGGGACCTCGGAGGGACAGGGGCCGCTGAGCCTGCGGGGCCTGGCCCTGCTCCTGCCCATTCCCCAGGCCCCAGCCTCACCCAAGTCTGGGTTCCACCCTCCCTCAGGGTCCCACTGCTCCCGCCCGCCTCCATCATGGCTCACGAGAAGGCCACCCCGCCCTGCTGTGGCCCCCGCGGCTCTCCTGCCCCTCTCCTGCGTCCAGGCTCAGACCCGGCCAGGGGGTGCTTGGCCACTACGAAGCCAAAGCCCAAGTCCTCCCTGTGGCCCAGGGGGCCCTTCCCAGCCTGCCTCGCCTCCTTCCCCCACCTCCTCTGCCCCAGGGCCTTTGCACAGATGGCCCCCACCGAGCTGGGGCTCATTCCCTGCCCCGTGGCACCCTCCCCACTTCCTGCGCCCCCACAACCCCGGACGTGGACTCACAGGTTCTGCTTCTCCAGCTGCAGGACTTTCCTCTGCAGCTCCTGGTTCTGGGCAGTGCAGGCCGACATCCTGAAGGAACAGTGAATGACCTGGTGACTTGCAGAATTTGCCTGTCGCCAACTGTCCCCACTGATGTTTCCCTGGGAGGCCCCAAGCCAGAGAGCAAAGGCCTCCTGCCTCAGTCCCCTGGTAGCTGGGGACCACAGCACACGCCTGGGCACCTGTGCAGGGCCAGGACGGGAGCCCAGGTCTGTCGGTTTCCGGGTCCGCGTGGGGTGGGCTTCCACCACGGCCGAGCCCCAGGGCTGGGTGCCAGACTCAGTCAGAGTTGGAGACCCCAGCTGAAGCCCTGGCCCTCCGCGACCTGCAGCCCCTCCAGGCTGGGCGGCAGGCAGGTGCTGAGCACGAGGGCCCACCTTCCACCCCAGCACCACGGGGGGAAGCAGGGAAGAGGGCAGAGGCAAGCCCCCATCTTGGCCTGGGTGCGGCTGGCACCCATGTTCCCCGTTAGCATCAGTGGCCTTAAGTCAGAACACTCGGGTGCAGACTTGAAGTGTCCCACTGGGCTGAGAATGAGCATGAGGTGGGCCGCGGCCGTCTCCACCCCAGGGCAGGGGTCCACCCAGCACCGGGAATGGGGAGCGGGAAGACGGGCTCCTAAGGGAAAGTCCTCCTCTTGAGGCCAGAGACTCTTGGACCATCGGCTTGTTTTCCCCACAGGTAGCAGATGGGTCGTGTGCTGTTCTGCAGGGAGCTGCATAAGGATCCACAGTCCCTCTGCAGAAAGTAGGCCCAACATAGCAACTGGAAAGGAATGAATTCCCCCAGTGAAAAGTGCTCCTTTAAACCAGGCCTGGTGATGCGCACCTGTCGTCCTGGCCATTCAGGAGGCTGGGCAAGAGGTTCCCAAGTTTGAGGCCAGCCTGGGCAACTCAGTGTGACCCTGTCTCAAAGTTTTAAAGAGCTGGGGGTGCACGTCAGGGGAGGAATGCTTGCCCAGCATGTGTGAGACCCTCGGTCCACACACCCCCTCAAAGTGGGATGCAGCTAATGCAGTGCCGAGAGGGAAATGCATAGCCCTGATCCAGCCCCAGAGCTGAGCAGGCACATTTAAACAATAGTCAGAGAACAACAGAATAAGTCCCTCAAAAACTAGAGGCTATGGCCAGGCACGGTGGTGCATGCCTGTAGTCCCAGTGACTCAGTCTGAGGGAGGAGGATTGCAAATTCAAGGCGAGCATCAGCAATTTAGGCTCTAAGCAACTTAGTGAGACCCTGTCTCAAAACAAAAAAAACCAAAAGGGCTGGGGAGGGCCTGGGGTTGTGGCTCAGCGGTAGCACGAGGCCCTGGGTTTGATCCTCAGCACCGTATAAAAACAACTAAGTGAAATAAAGGTGTTGTGTCCAACTGTAACTAAAAAATAAAATATTTTTTAAAAAGCTCTGGGGATGTGACTCAGTGGTAAATCACCTGCCCCTGGGTTACTCCCCAGTGGCAAATTTCATATATATATATGTATAATTAGTTGGGAAGAAAAGACAGAAATTTATTATTTGATGGGAACCATGGTTAGGAATTATTTCCATAACACTCATTTGATAAGAAGAATAAAACAGACAAAATTCTGGGAAGATTGATCAAAAAGTAAAAGAAGGCTCAAGTAGACAACATGAAGAATTCAGAGGACATGACGACAGACCCGGACATCAGAGCCTGAAACAGCAGAGAGTAGGGACAGTTCCGTGTGCCACGAGGACTTCCCAGGACCCAGGACGTGGAAACCGACTGGAGGAAACGGAAAACCCAAACAGACCCGCAGCATCCAGCAAGGCCACTGTGGGCCTGGAAAGGGGGCTGCCTTTGCTGTTTGTATCAAAGGACGAAGAGCTTGGCCCCTGCGGACCCTCAGCGCCTTCCGAGGGGCGAGGGGCCAGCCCGGGGCTCCCTGGGGACAGCGCGGTCCCCCTCTGCCTCCCGCGGCCAGTGCTCTCAGAAGCAGCACCATTCTCCAGCGCCGGCGGAGAGGAGCTTCATGTCCTCGGGGCACAGGGACCCCAGGACCCTGGCCCAAGCCATCTCCGGGGATCCTTGAGTCCTCGTAGGGAACACTCTTTCTCGAGGGGAAACGACGCCGATTTTGTCAGGGCCTAGCACTTGTGACCCTCGGCACCTGGTGTCCCTCTCTCTGAGCCTCAGTTTCCCCGAGTGCGAGGTCCAACCCCGCCCCGCGTTACCGAGTTTCAAGACCATCGATGTACTCCTTCTTCTTCTTCCTGCTTTCTTGAGCTGATTGTTTGTTGCGGATTTTCCGGCGGATTTTCTTCAAGACTCTCTCCTCGTACTGCAGAGGGAAAGGGGAGAGGCTGAGCCGTCTGGGCGGTCTCCTCTGCTCTCCGGACTCTTTCAGACCCCCGGGGCGGGCTCTGGTGGGTGGAGGCCAGCCTGCCGCCCTCATTCTTGCAGTGGGCAGGGAGGCCCGGCTGCGCGGGTCACCCTGGCTCCGTCCTCCGCAGGACGCCCCAACCCCAAGAATCCAGCAAGTGACGCCCCAACCGCGCAGCCTGGTGTCCCCCGGGGAAACCGCACCTGTCTCGGAGCCCGCCCCAGTTAAGGGAAATGGGGACTCGGGTGTTGACACGGAGTGGGACCATCCGCAGGGCCTGACCAGGCAGGCGCTCAGCCTTCGGGGCTGCCCGCGGGATCTGGGAACAGGGCCGCGGAGTGACGCTCTTTGGGGAAATGTCCCCGTCAGAAAGTGCCAGCTCCCCGGGGAGAGGCTGGTGAAATCAGGGGGTTCCACCAAAGCCTGTGTGCAGGGCGGCTGGCCTGCAGGGCACCCGGGTGTAAGCTCTGACCTCGGAGAGGCCATGACAAGCCACGATGGGACGGGGGACAAAGGAGGGCTTTTAGCCCCCAGCCAGCCTGCTGGTCACCACTGGGGACAGCATCACCTGCCGTGAGTGGGTTTTCAGGGTGGAATTCGGCTGGCGACCCACCGTCCTGACCCTCTAGTGCTGTGGTCTACTGTGGGACTCGGAGAGAGGGGAGCGGGTGTCCCTCCCACCTTGGTGAGGGGCAGCTGGGTGGGCAGGGTGATGCCCTCCTTGGCCAGCAGCTTCTTCTCCTCCTCCGTCAGCACCAGCTCCTGACAGTGCCCGTTGCCAGGTCGCAGAGAGGCTGCCAGGTGCTGCTGCTGCTGCGGGGGAAAAAACAGGAATTGCACCGGAGGTGGGAGGCGGGCGGCCTCTGGAGCAGCCAGGGGACACCTGCAGAGGAAGAGGACGGGGTCCTCCAGCCCCACACCAGTGACCATGTGACGGGTGCCCAGGAACAACATGAAGGGCAGACGGCACCGCGTGTGGCATGTGCTCAAACCTGGAGGAGGGGCAGGGGAGGGGAGGGGGGAGCCTGCGGGGAGCTGAGCGCGGCACCCAGGGGAGGGGTGGCCACCTCCCTTCACGCCACACCGTCCGTCCTGAGAGCCCAGGCTGTGTGGGTGCACTTGCCTACCCTGTTCCCCAAAAATGACTCAGTTTAGCCAGGCGCAGTGGCGCACGCCTGTCATCCCAGCGGCTCAGGAGGCTGAGGCAGGAGGCTGGCCTCAACCCGTCCCGTGTGGAATGGGAGACTCAGGATGGAGGACGGAGGACCTCAGTCCTGGAAGGTGCTCCGCCCGCCCGGCCCTGCCCACAGCATCTTGGCTGAGAGGCCTGGGTTTCGGGCCCTCCTGGGAGGTGAGCTGGCAGCTCTTCCCCCTCCGAGGGGCCGCGGAAGAGTCCCTCCCAGCAGTCTGGACTTTGTCCCTTCTGCCTGGCACTTGGCTGGGGACACTGCCTGCTGTCCCCCTTCCCCTTCCTGCTGCTTCCTCCCCATGAATCACTGCTCCCGGGACAGTCCTGGTCCAGGCTGGGTCCAAACTCCACGGCTAGCACCCTGGCCACCGTGAGCCCGGCCAGGCTCCCAGCCTGCGTCTACTTTCATCTGAAAAAACAGGAACAAGGTCCCCAGGACCCCAAGACTGTGGACACAGAAAAAGTACATGGAAAATGACGCATTTATAAAAGCCAGTCGTCACCAAGCGAGGTGACAGATTCCTGTTGTCCTAGCTACTCAGGAGGCTGAGGCAGGAGGATTCCAAGTTGGAGGCCGGCCTGAATAACTTAACAAGACCGTGTCTCAAAATAAGACAGACCGGGCTGGGGAGCGCTCGGGGTGGAGCGCCTGCCTAGCATGCCCCAGCCCCAGGGTCCACTGCCAGCACAAGGGCGGGGACGATCCTTCCCAAACCAGTCCTTCTCCCTGCTGACCCTTCGGGGACTGCTGCAACACCACTGCCTCCAGGAGGACCCCCTGGGCCTGCAGGGACACCCCGTGAGCTCCCTGCAGTGCGTCGCCTCACCCTGACCAGGAGACCTGGACGCAAGCACACAGGTGGCCAGTGCTCACTGAGTGTCTCCAGTCGCCGGAGGCACCCTGGCCCTCCCGGGAGACAGTCAGGATGACCTTTGGCAGCAGACAAAGGGGATTTCAAACCTGACTCTGCCACTTGGTTTCTGTGTGACTTTAGGTTCACAGCTTAACCTCTCTGAGCCTTGACCTTCTCATCTGTAAAATGGGGGGGTCTGTCTTACAGGGGTGAGAAGCCCTGGGCAGGACAGATGGCCCCCACCAGTGTGCAGTGAGCACAACGGGACCAAGGCCAGCGCCAGGACAGCCTGTGGCGCTGGGTGGCTTGGAGTGAGCTAGGGACTTCTGTGCCCATTTCCTTAAATGGGGGATTTGGATAATAAAAGCCCGTCTTCGGGGCCCCTGCGGATTGAAGGACGATGATTCATGGCGTTTGGAAGGTGCCTGGCCCCGGGCGGGCGTGTGGCAGCAGACTCCAGCCTCTTGCTCTCCCCGTTCTGCATGTGCACACAGTGGCCCAGCCCTGCCATCCTGGGCTGGACGCCCGGGGCTGGGTGTGGGGTCCCCTCCCGCCTTCCCCACTGTCCCAGGCATGGGATGGAAGCTCACCAGGTCCCCGCTGCCCGACAGGAGGAGGTCTTTAACGGTGAGGTTGAAGCGGGAGGGCGTGTCTGCCTGCTCCTCGGCATAGAGGCCCCCTGTGCTCCACACGTCTGATGGGGCAGGAGGGGACAGGGACAGGGAGGGCCTCAGAGGGACACCTCAGCAGCGCCCAGCCCTACCGGCCTCCCCGGTCTCCGTGAGCAGCCTCAACAGGCTCGGGCACTTGGCAGAGCTTGGGACCCCGGGCCTCGCTGGGGGACAGCTGTCTCCCCTCTGTGGGATGGACCCCCCCCAGCACACCTGGGTGTACCAAGGCACAAAGAAGACACAGGACATTGTCGGGGACCCGCTGCCACTCAGGGCACATTGGCTCTCACTGTCCAGGATGGGTCCAGGGGCAGCCAGCACAACCTTGTCTCCCCGCAGGACAGGGGTGAGGCTGGCCCCTGCACGCCACCGTCCCTCCTGGTGCCACGTACAGTAGGCAGCTGCCCCAACCAGCCCCTGGCTCTGACCCCAGGGTGGAGCTGGTGGCCTCGGGTGACTTCACCTCTCAGACCCATAAGAGCAAGACCAAGGACAGAGGGGAGCCCAGTGGACACCTGTCTCCAGGGGGTCCTCTGCCTGGCCCCCAGGGCATCAGTGTCCCTGGAGTGAACCATTGTTGATCTGCTGGGGACCATCTGATAAGGCCTTCTGCAGCCAGGATGTCCCCAGCTCCCTGAGGCAGGCCCAGGACCTGGACTGCCCGGAGCCATCTTCACGTGGCCCCAGCAGCACCCCTCTGGGGCCCAGGAGCAGGGAAGGCAGCGGGCGGGCCCCTGCCACTCACCCAGGTCTATGGTCACGGAGGCCTCCAGCACTTGGGGGCCCGAGGGCCTGGCGGGGCAGAGGGGCCCAGGGAGGTAGGAGGGGCAGGGCCCCCTGCCGGGCTCATTGGGGTGGCAGCTGGCCGGGGTGGTGGCCAGTCCGCTGCGTGGAGGGGTGTCCTGAGGGTCAGAGGGGAGGTCTTCAGAGATGCCGCTGTCACTGCCCGCGGGGGACCAGATCGGGGAGCTGGGATCCGAGTCTCCAGGGCCCAGGATGGCGCTCAGGAAGTCATCGGAGTCGGAGCCCGGCAGCACCTGCCCGAGGAAGAGGGAGGGGCGGGAGTTGGGGTCCGCGCTGAGCCAGGGGATGGGGGGGGGGACGCTCCTGAACCGGGGTGACCGGAAACACCCAGGGAGGGAGGCCCAGGCCCTAGGCGTGAGTGTGGCCTTAGTTCCAAATTGCTGAGCGACCCTGGATGGGTTCCTGCCCTCTCTGAGCCTCGGCCCGCACCTGTGCGCAGGCGGCTGCTGTGTCACGGGCTTGGTGGGAGCGGAGCTGGGGGCTGGGCGGGGGCTGCGGGGCGCTGCTGACCTGGCCCGCGAGGCCCCAGCGCTCGGCCAGCTCCACGTGTCTCAGGACGCCGTCCTGCCGGTCAAACAGGAGGTCCAGGAGCTCCAGGCTGTCCATGGGGCCCACGGCACAGGCGGGGGAAGCCATCTGGGGCGGAGGGACGGCGTGAGGTCGCCAGCCCCTGGGGCACCCCCCCAGCTCAGCCCCGGGCTGGGCCCCTGAACCTGACGGCGGCCGCGGGGACCCCAGGTGACAGCCACTGGCGGGGCCCGGGCGCCTGTCGGAAGGACCCGCCCCGCGAGGCCCTGAGGCCGCAGGGGACCCGGGAAAGGCGGGTCCAGCAGCGGGCGGCGCGGCCTGGGTCTCCCCATCCGCCCTGCAGCCCGGGCCGCGGTACTGGACGGCCGGGAAGCGACTGCAGAGTGGCCGCGCAGCGGTGGGGCCCGCAGCCACCACTCACCTTGCCAGCCCGAGGCCCACCCACCCGGTGGCTCCTGGCTGTGCCCTGTCACCACCCCCAAGAGATGCTGAAATAGGCCCCGCGGCGCTCGCCCAGCCCCCGGCGTTGATTGGCGGCCAGGACAGACGGACAGGGTCCAGGGCCAGTGGGGCGCGGGCTGCGGGCGGGCCGCGGACCGTTATCTCGTTGTGTGCTTTCCAGCCCGCAGTGGGCAAAGGCCGAAGTCCTGGGTGTCTGGGCCGCGCCGTGACCTTTTTCCTACTTTCAGGGACTCTTTTCTTCAGTCACCGGACGTTGGGACGGGATAGCTCACGGTCCCTGGGAGAGTCCTGTCCCCAGGTCGGAACAAAGCCGGTTCCTTTCCTGGGAGCGCCCTTCCCTCATCTGAGCTGCCAACCTCCTGCCCAGCCTCGAAGTCCAGCTGGGACGGCCGGCTCCTTGCCCCCCACTGTCAAATCCCTGCGGTCAAGTCCTTCTAGAATCATCTGTGGTTCATTAGTCAACATTGATCGAGCTAAACTTCCTGCCTCAGGGCCTTTGCTCGGCCGCTGCCTGAACTCCCCTCCTGTGCCCTCCTCCCTGTTCTGTGGTCATCTGTTGGCATAGCTGCCCGTGTTCATTGTTTATGAATCAGCTCAGTCCACTGACAGTCATCTTTGCCCCCAGTAGAGAGGAGTCCTGTCCCCGCCTCTTTATCGTGTTGGCACTTTTATTAGACTCCAACTAGTTTAAATTGTATTTGTTTTTTTGTCTTCCCTTGTCCCTCTTCCCTAGGATGTTGGCTCCTTAGGGACCAGGGTAGAATTTCTTGCTCAGTGCTGAGTCCCCAGTGTCTCAGAAAGGACCTAGCACATAGTAGGTGCTCAGTCGGTTGTTACTTGTTAAGCACCTACTGTGTGCCAGCCACTGCTTTAGGCTCTAGCAGTAAAGAAGAAGCTAGATGTGGACGCAGACGAGTACCAGGTGAAGGAGGGCAGACACGCGGCCAGGGCCACTGCAGGGCCGGAAAACCCCCCAGAGGAGAGCCCTGGAGCCTGAGGCAGAGCCAGGCTGAAGGAACAGCTCGTGCAAAGGCCCTGGGGCGGGATGAGGCTGGTGCTTGGAGTGAGGAGGAGGGAGTCAGGGAGGGGACAGGCAGGTCTTGCAGGGGCCACGGCTGCGGGAAGGAGTTTGGTTTGGAGCGAACACAGCAGGGAGCTGTTGGAAACAGGTGAATGGATGACAAAATCCGGCTTCTGGGCACAGGGCACGAGGCTGGGTGCCAGGTGGACAGCAGTGTCCTTGCTCACGAGACCTCATACCTGCTTTGCTCCCTGATGGGCCAGTGGTCATTCCCTCCTGGGAGGAGGGTGAGGTGCTTCTCCCCGACAATAACTTGTATTATACAAGTCGCCCCCAGGGGACCCTGGTGCTGCCTGGGGACACCGTGGTGTGGCTCCTGGGGTGTCCAGGCCCGGGTGGAGGCCAGGAGTGCTGCTCAGCGCCCTGTAGTGCCAAGGACGCCCACCAGAGAAGGACCCGCAGGGTGCGCGGTGCCGGGGCCTGTGACAGCCCGCCCCCCGGCTGCCTGCGGTGGCCTCGACCTGGCCTCAGGTCTCCTGTCTCTCCCCTCCGCGGCGGCTCTTGAGGGGTGGTTGGTTTGCCCTGGGGAGTTCCCGTGGCCATGTTCGCCCAGCGCTTGGGTGAGGGCACCTGCAGTGGGGGAGAAGCAGGTGACAGGTGGCTTCTGGACTCCGCCGCCTCTGTCACCTGTTTATGACTCCAGGGAACACAGTGCCCTTGGGTGAGTCGCTTCCTCCTCCCTCCGGTGGGAACCCACGGGGAGGAAGGCCAGGCCTTGGCCACCCAACCTTCATGGGGACAGACGTCACCTCTCCCTCCCCGAGGACAACCGTCGTTCACGATTTTAAAAACAGCTGTTGACTCTCTGCTGGCCTCAGGGAAGGGACTCACCAGCACCCGAGCTGGCGGCAGTGGCCACACGGTCATTCCGGCGACTCTGGAGGCTGAGGCAGGAGGATGGGAATTCAGCGCCGGCCTCAGCGACTCAGTGAGACCCTGTCTTAGGATACCCAGGGCTGGGGAGTGGCTCAGGGTGCGGCAGCCCCATCCAGCAGCCCCACGGGGGCAGAGCGCAGCACCAGGAGGCTCCCGGAGCGCGCAGTCAGTGGGCCTCGGGCAGCAGGGGCTGGGAGGAAGTGTGCGTCCCCTGCACCCAAAAGACACCCTCCGTGCTTTGAAGCGAGGCCAGTGGACAGAAGGTCCCCAACCAGAAGCTCCCTGAAGAGCTCGCTGGCCGGCAGGGCACAGGGGCCAGGGCCCAGGAGCCAGCCGGCCGGCAGGCTGTGCAGCGGGCTGTGTGGGGCGGCCCAGGCCCAGGCCCTCCCCCATGTCTTTGGGGGAGGTTGGGGGAGGTTGGGTCTCTGTCTCTCAGCTTCTGTTTCGGGCGGGCTTCCCTCCTGCCCTGGCCACCTGGGCCCCGCCGTCCTCCCGCCCCTGCCTCCCGGGGCCACAGGTGCCACCGCAGACCTCTGCTGCAGGGGACTTCGCCTTCATCTTGCCGTCGAATCAACCAAAATGCTCCACGAGTGACAGCCGAGGTGTGGTCAGTGCACAGGAGGCGGCATCAGCCAGAAAAATGAGTGACATCCTGTCAGTCAAGCAACACAGGGGACCTGGAGGACATTACGTTAAGTGACAGAATCCAGGGACAGAAAGACCAACAGGACACGTTCCTGCTCGTTTGTGTCGCTGAAAAGTGGTGACCAAGAACAGAGAAGAGCAGGGGTCACCAGGGGGAGGACAGGGGTGGCAGGGAGCAGTCGCCTCAGCAGGACTCTGTCTCAGAAAACAGAAAGGACGAGGCGCAGCTCAGTGCTGGACGCGGGTTCAATGCCCAGCCCCGGAGACAGACTGCGCCCGCAAGGCCACCGGCTCCGGGGAGTGTCTTTATTCGGTGGCAGGCAGCCACCCAAGGGACCGCTGCAGTGTCTGCCCTGCTCCAGGCACAGGGACCTGGGTGAGGGTCACGGACACTCGTTGAAATTTCATTCAGCTCCACGTCTGTGCTCTTTCCGCGCCTCAGCCCCCCATCGGACCCTGCCCTCATTTGCGTTTATAAATAAAGCTTTATTGGCACCCGGCCCCGCCCTCGCTGTGCACGTCTGTAGCTGCTTTCCAGCTGCATCTGCCACGTGGTTTGCAAAACCCAAGAATTAACTCTGGGCTGGGGCGGGGCTCCGTGGTGGCCTTGCGCAGCAGGCTCCGGGCCCTGGTCCAGCCCTGAGCTGCAAAAACCAGAAGAGCAGCACACCGGGTTCTCAGCCTTCCTGGGCAGGTCTTGCTGGCGTCGGCCTTAAGACAGTGGACCCACACTTTCTGGCTTTTTTTTTCCTTTGGGGGGTACCAGGGATGGGACTCAGGGGCACTTGGCCCCTATTCTATATTTATTTAGAGACAGGGCCTCACTGAGTTGCTTAGGGCCTCGATTTTGCTGAGGCTGGCTTTAAAATCATGAGCCTCCTGCCTCAGCCTCCCAGGCCCCTGGGATAACTGGCTTGTGCCACGTGCCCAGCCCTTTTACATATTTTATTTAGAGACAGGGTCTCGCTGAGTTGCTTAGGGCCTCACTAAGTTGCTGAGGCTGGCTTTGAACTCGTGATCCCCCTGCCTCAGCCTCCTGAGTGGCGGGGATTACTTGCCCCGGTGCCTTGCTTGGAGCCACCCTTTCAGAACAGGATCACAGGCCACAGGTGACTCTTGAATAGCTGGAGGAGGGACATGGAACTGTGAACTGGATTTTCAATGTTATTTCATTTTGATTAATTCAAACTAAAAGTTGAGCCAGGTGCTGTGGCCACGCCTCTGTCCCAGCGGCTGCAGAGGCTGAGGCAGGAGGCTCGGGAGTTCAAAGCCAGCCTCAGCAATTTGGCGAGGCCTTGAGCTCACGGCTGCCACTATTGTGACTGCGTCTGCGGGACGGTCTCGTGACGCCCGGTCAATGCCACCTGTCATTTTTCCGTTTCCTCAGCCCTTTGGCCCTGGTGCAAATCTGGTCATGCAATGACGGTGCACCCGTGCGCATGGGGACAGAGGGGCCGGGAAGGGTGTGACTCTCGGTGGCCACTGCCTGCCTCAAGCCAGGAGGGGAGGCCACACCCAGGGGCCCCCTCCAGATGACCCATGCCCCTCCTCTCTCCTGCGTGTTCTCCCCCCAAGGGGCTCACACGCTTCCCTTTTGTGACGTTCTGGGGGACAAAGGAGGGAGTCCACGCAGCAGAGGCTCCTGCCTTCTCCCTCCTCCTCTCAGGGACCGCTGCCGGCGATGAGCAACTCCCTCGTGACGTGGGTGTGGCGGGGCGGGCAGGGAGGCCACAGGGACTCTGATCCCCTCTTGGGCAATGCTGGCTGGGCCTCTTCCCCAGGCCGCCCGCTCCTCCTACACCAGGGCTGTTCCAGGAAGTCTGGCCTCTGTTCTGGGGGTGGCCTCCAGATGACACGAGGGAGGATGAGGGAGGACCCGCCCTGCCCTCCCTAAGAAAGGAGGACACTCATCCATTCACTCCCACAGCCACTGGGTTTATTGAGCACCTGCTGCATGCCAGGCGTTGGGGACACAACAGACATCACAATTGGCAAAGCATTCCCCGCCCCACCCCCTGGAACCCATGCTCCAGGTGGGGAAGGTGCTGACAGTGGCATCACCCAGGAGGGGGCAGGTCCACTCCGGGGCCATGCGAGGGACAGCCAAGCAGCTGGGCGCACTGGAACCCTGTCATCCCAGCAGCTGGGGTGGCCGAGGCAAGAGGACCGCAAGTTGGAGGCCAGCATGCTTCCTGGGAGTCAGCCACCGCTGTCAGCCAGCCCCACTTCCCGGGCCTGTCCCCCCCTCCGTGTCTAGCCACCGCCTCATCCAGGAGATTGCTTTATGGCTGGTGGGTCCAAGGGGCACAGCGAGCCCCCTCACCAGGGAAAGGAGGTCTGGGCAGCCCCTCCTCTGGTCCCCTGGGGGTGGGGCAGCTGCATCCCCAGGTCCCCAGGCAGGAGGTGCCCGGCTCCAGGGCAGGAGCCCCACCGCGGGAGCCGCCCCAGCAGCGGAAAAGCATCTCCCACAGTTCAGCAGGCGGAAGTTCAAGTCCAGGTGTCCAGGGGACTGAGGCCTCTGGCCTTGGCTTGTCCAGAGCTTTCCCTGCGTGTCCTGCCGGCCGGCATTTCCTTCTCCTGTAAGGACACCGTCTGATGCACAGGGCCCGCGGAAGGGGCCTCACTTGAACTTGGTCAGCTCGGATAAGGTCACCTTCCGAGGTCCTGGATGAACTTCAGGGGAATGCAGTCAGCAGGGTGCGGCTCAGGCCCAGAAAGGAGGAGGGAGGGGGGGAGGAGCGCCAGGCCGGGGGTCTCCAAGGCCACCCCCAGCGCAGCTTGCCTGTCCACCCCAGCAGGTGGCCCAAGAGGGCTGCAAGGTGGGTGGGCAGTGGAGGGACCCCGAGCAAATCCCCGGAGGCGGAGGAAAGAGGGAGAGTCACACAGTCGCTTTGAAACAATCATCCCTGGCCTCAGGGGTCAGTCAAGAGGGTGCTTCTGTCCCCAGCGGCTGGGCCGATGTCCTTGCAGAAGTGATTCTGTTCCAGGCTGCAGTGACCTCTGTGCAAAGTTCTGGTTCTTGTGGGGACTTTGGTGACAGTTCTCATCAAGCGATGGTGATGAAGGCCTCCCGGCTTTCTCTGTTCAGTTAATCTGCTTCACTGTCTTCCTGCAGCTGTCACAGTCTGTGCTGAGCCTTTGCCCCGAGAAGCCGGGTTCTGTGCCCGCAGTCCCAGGAACGTCCATACCGACCCCGAGGCTTCGTACTTGTCTATTTCTTCGATCTTTTTGCAGCTGGGCTGGAACCCAGCCCTCACCATGCTAGGCGAGGCTCACCTCGGAGCCAGTCGCAGCACACACACCCTTGTTTTGTTGTTTGTTTGTATTTTGAGCCAGGGTCTCGCTGAGCTGCCCGACAGGCCTGCTGCTTGGGATTCTCCTGCTTCTGCCTCCCTAGTAGCTGGGATGACAGGCGCGGCCGCTGGGTCCAACAGTGCTGATGAGTTTGGGGAGGACGAACGGCACCGCTCAAAGGGCCCAAGACAGACTCCAAGGGCCACTCCAAGCCAGGCTGGGGACCTGCCCAGGCAGCGCCGGCTCTCCCAGGTCCTGGCCCAGCTCACCCTGCGCGGCTCTGATGCCGCTTCTCTCCTCGGGGCAGTTCCTCGTCTGTACCCTGAGGACGGATCCCGTGGCTATGTCAAGCTCCTGCCAGCTCCAACGTCAGGGTTGATGTTCCATCCCCCTGAAATCTGCCTGAGAATGGGGGGCCTTGAGAGCCCCAGGGAGACGTGGGCGTGCAGGAGAAGCCCAGTGTGTGAGGACAGGTCCACTGGGTGCAGGCTCACCCGGGGGAGGGCGGCCGTGCACTGGCCTCACCTGCCATCCCAGTCACTCGGGAGGCTGAGGCAAGAGGATCTCCTTTTTGAGGCCAGCCTCAGCAACTTAGCAAGACCTTGTCCCAAAACAATAAGAAAAAAAAGGACTCGGGGTGGCTCCGTGGCAGAGCACTTGCCCAGCACGTGTGAGCCTCTGGGTTCCGTCCCCAGCACCAAAGAGAAAAGAAAGGAAAAAAGAGGATCAGGAAGGGAGGACCGCTTTACACCTGATTAAACTTATTTATCTGGGGGGGGGGGCTAGGGGTTTAACCCAGGGCATTTACCCTGAGCCACACCCCGCCCTCTGCACTTTTTATTTCATGGCAGGATCTTGCTAAGTTGTGGGCCCTCACTAAGTAGCTAAGGCTGGCCTGCAGCTTTCGGTCCTCCTTTCTCAGCCTCCTGAGTTGCTGGGATTGTGATTGAGTTCAACTTTCACAAGAAATTCATGCACGGACACCCGCTGAGAGCTTACTTTGTACCTCGAATCCTTTCAGACACACCGCACACCCTCTTGATCTTTCCTTCTCTGAGAAAAAGAGCCCCATTGTTCACAGGCAAAGTTCTGAGGCTAAGTGCCCAACCCAATTAAAACCACACTGATCATTTATTGAGCCCCCACTATATACTAGGCACTGTGCTGAGGACCCATTGGATCCCCCAGAAACGTGGTGGATGGGGGACTGTTTGCAACCCTATTTAACAGCTGGGGATGCCAGGTCCTGGGGAGGGGCCTCCAGGCCATGGCTGTGACGCTGACCCAGAGCTGCCCGGACAGCCACACTCTAGCTGAAGTTAGGCAAGGTAATCTGGGCGGGGCCGTGATGTCCAGCACAGAGTGCCCGCTGTGTGACTTGAGGCAAGATATTTGACCTCTCTGTGCCTCATCTTCCTCCTTCCCTCAATGGGTGTTCTATGTACAAGCAATTCTGAGCCACATCAAGTGACCCAGTGCTCATGCTCTATAAAGTTTATTATTGATCTAAATCAGGGGTCAGCAAACTTTGTAAGAGAGCCAGTTAGTAAACATTTGCAGGTTTGTTTTTCTTTTTTTTTTTTTTTTTTGGTTGTTGTTGTTTTATTTTCCAGTGATGAGTTGGAAACAGGACTCTTGTGCGCTAGGAGGGTGCTAACCACGGAGCTCACCGGCCCAAC